CTCTAACAAGTCGTAGGTAAGCGGTAGTGGGCATGTGGTGCACGCATCAGCGTGCGTAGCCCATCTGGTTTATGAATAAACGCCATATATTGTGCTCACTCCCATAAGATACACAAAGGGATGAGGTACCGCAAAGAATGGAGATAATGTCAGAAGCGCTCATGAGAGTTGCTGTATCTGTTTCTTTTCAGCTACTTCCTTGGACCCCATTTGCAGAGAAAGACTGAAAAGTGGATACTGTCAAGGACGACTCATGAGGTAAAGATGATAGAACTTGAAATTCGTGCGATCTTGAAGCGGAACGATTCCGAGCTGAGAAATACTTCGCTGAAGTACCATCACAAAAAGAAGGTGTATTCTGTGATTATTTCAAACTTTGCACCCTTTTCACTTCGCCTTGGAGTTTCCCCTCTTTTTTTCGAGTGGATTGAATGAAGCTCGGAGAAACGATAGCTAATAATCGAAACAGCAGAGAGCCAAGCAATTCGGCCCGTCAAGCCTTCCATTCTTTCAGGGTCGGTAAATTGGTACCAGCTCGTCTGGGAAGTGAAAAGCGTTGGCTTGTAAATCGGCTGGTCATGGCAAGTTTATACAGGCCACATAAACATTCAATAAGACACTCTGAATGTATGGGCCGGGGCGTATCACAAAAATGTGGTTAATTAACGCGATGAAATTATGAACTTCATCCTTTTATATCTACTAACAGGTGGCACTAAACTATCCCCGATTGACAATTTATAAGGGGTAGGCCGAAAAATGACTCAGAACGAGCTCAGCTGCTGCTCAAGCTGCTAGGAATATCTCACTCTCTCCATCCTCTTCCCAAAATTGACTTCGTTTCAGATATGGATTCTCAACCAGAGAACGGAAGTGCGTAAAGTTCATCTATACCGGATGTAGTGGTAACAGAAACAACTTCAAGACTATGAAGGAATGTAGGAGAAAATGTGCTTTCAGGAATTAAAATGACGGCGTCCTTATTGCTCAATAAATATATGCATCCCACCTTTCTATTATTCTTCTATTGGATAATAGATATCATTATTAGATAGAATATTATCTATAATAAATGCAACACTTTTCATACTTGGTTCGATTCCGGGCTGGAATCTCGGCCACTCCAATCACTACAAATATCCCTATGCAGACGCGCTGGGCAGAAGATGAAAATCCTTTTATCCTGAGGTATTTTATACCTTTGTTGTATCTTATCTTTTTCATGCCTAAGCCCAAGCCAAACCCGACGGTGCTTTGGAAAAGATTTCGGCTTTCGATGGCACAATTTTTGGCCTTGTCACTTTGAAATACTGTACAAGAAACAAAATAGGTTTTGAAATTTCACCAACATCCCCGTCGATTCCTCCCGCTCCCCCCATGTGTGTCGGAAATGATTCTAGAAGAAGCAATGGCTTCCTGACAGCTACCGTATTCTTCCACCGAAAATTCAAACTTCCCTTTTAGTGCGTGCGACTACATACGCACCATTGGATGTGGAGAGTGTACCACGCCGTTGGGGTACAAGAACCCGAACCCACTCCACATTAATGCTAAAGGGTGTGGTCAAACGGGCTTCGAGCTACCGTTTTGCTGTTTCTAAAAGGGGTTTTGGAGCGGGAACATCGAACCCTCAAGTGACAAACCCTACCTCAGAGATGTCCTGAATAGACTTTGCTTAGCACAGTTCACAATAAATTTGAGGTGCCCTTTTTAGGTTTAAAAGGGGAAGTGTTGATGTAGAGAAGAAAGCGGTGGCGAAGGTAGCGAGAAAACCTGCCTACTTTCACGCTTTTGAAAGTAGAAGAAGTGGAGGTTGTACGAGATCACTGCGACAGGGATGGCATGTAAGGGGTTTTTGGACGAGATTTAGCTTGCTCTCATTGCTCAATGAGATGACTACATCAGGCAGGAATTGTCCGAAACTGCCTTCACTGGCGCGATGGATTACGACAAGTTGTTAGAACTTCCTACGAGGGGGTCCCTTAAGATAATGCAGCCTCTACAAAGCCGTTGAAACTCGGCCACGAAGGGTGTGGCATTCACACTATAAAATCTCTGACCCCTTACTGTGCCCTGTCCATGACTTTTTCAACTTTACAACGGCAGGTATGGCATAAGGGGGAGCCTCGAATTCATACTATAGGGCAATCTCGGAAACCATCTTCATCGCGATGTGTGACTTTAACTGTGGAAGATTCCTTTAGGCCAAAAAATTATAAAACAAATCTCAACTGGAAAACTCACCTCTACGGATTGGGATGTGTCCTTCGTCGTCTCCTTAGACTTTTTGGGTGTTTCTTTCGATATTTCCTGACCAGATGCCTTTTCCTTGGAGCCTATTTTCTCTTTGGAAGCCATCAGTTCCCTGGATGCGTAAGCTTCTGCGGTTCCTTGTTTCAACAACCAATCGCGCTAAACATTTGGCCTTATAAGTTCTTAAACTCAAAACACAAAACGAATTTTCAACTTCATTACAATATTTAGTCTGAACTTCTTGTCAGATGTGTCCTCTTTTCCTATATCAAAAGATGTCGCCCAACCTGGCGGTATCTAAAAATTGAACACTTCGAATTTTGATCGGAACTTATGGGATACCTGCCTGTCCCATACCACTTCGGCACTCTGCGATCCCGCTGCAAGCTCTTTTTTGTAACCATCGAGGTATTCTTTCTGGAAACAACGGACTTCCATTTAGAAACCCTAAAAACTGACTTGATTGGTACTTCACCATAAGCTTTCGGCGTTGCTCCCATATTACGTCAACAGGTATGCGATCGCTCTTTTGTGTTCCAACATAATCGATTGTATCACCTTTTTCTTCATCAGTTGATTCCTGAAATCATCTATTCGGCAAATATAAATATTTTGAAGTGTTCCATCTTTCCGCCTGCTTGTTTGGCTAGGCTGAAGGAGCGCGTATGTCCAGCATACTTTGTGACTTAATTTCTGGTCAACCTGAGAGGTTTCAATACGAACACCCAGTAAAAGAAATTCAATCACAGATTGGCCTCGAGTGCTGAACAACTGTGCTTCTTGTGGTTAGGAGACAAAGCGGACCGTTCCTCCATTAACTAACTGTAGAAATGCCCTTATATTTGTTGTAGTTCCAAAGGGATTCACTGCTCTCTAATCGTATCCCGATGAGCCCCATGTCACGTCTTTATCGACTGAATTGGCTGGTAAGGGTTGGTCACCTATCAGTTTATAAGAATTCCTTGGAAACTTGGAATTTTTGTATTGTGAAAGTGGACTGACTGTAAGATGAAGCAGTAAAATGTGTCGAATACATAGACGCACACTCAGCTATGACAACGAATCCACGAGATCAATACACAGGAGCGAGAGACTTCATGGCTTTCCAGAGTGGACTTTTGCTTAAGTTTGAAATAGTGTTTGTAGATAGATCACACCCATTTTTGGTTCTGTAGACTTTGACAAAGGCAAAAATGTCGCCAGCCGAATAAAGCCTATTGCCATTTTGCTTACGGTTTCAGAAAACCTGACGAAATTTGTAGTCAGCCTATTGCCATGAAGAAACATGAGTTGTTCTTCAATTCATCGAAATGCAGCTCTACTCGTTGTGTTGGTTTGTCTGTCTGACTACCTGCGAAGGAACGGAGGTTGGCAGTTGCTACTTGCTGCTAGAACACTCGATCAAGTTGAAGAAGAGGTCACTTCTTTACACGCTACCAGACCAAAAGCTAAGAACTGCCGGAAGAGCGAAAAGCATTCTGGTAGACGTTGTAGCTATGAGAATGATTTGAAATTCACCTAAAAAGAAACTAATAGGGCGAACATCGTGAGCTTCTAGAGACCTTGGCACCTGGCCAGAAGTATTCCTCAAGGTACCCTTAGTAAACTAGATCACTCGAGCTATCCGATAAAATGATTATGTTGTTGCTGAGCTGAGGATTACGGTAATAACTAGTGGGACCACTGCGTCGTGCGTGCCTGCAACCGCAGGAGTTCGGGTGCCAAATATGTACATCGCTCTCTACAGGAGCCAGGAATCGCAACCTGGGCTTCTCCTTCGCTTAACTTCATTATTATTCTCTCCATGTGTTCAAAAGATGTATAAGGAAATATACATAAATGTTCCAAAAAAAACGAAAGGAGCCTGAGTAACGTAAGATGACATACCGAAAAAGTACCTTTCCTCTTCATTTGCTTCCCCTTGAAGGGATTCTTTCTTCTTCCACTCCTGGCACTATCTTTTGCAGTCCGCGATTTTGAGGAACGATTCTAGAAGCAGTTCCGACATTCTGCAACGTAAACCACTGAGCTAAGGAAAGCTGTACCTTAGATACTTTCACTTTTCGAGCCGAAGTCGTTCTCGAAGAAAAGCTAGCTCTCCCTGGCGTTAAAGGATGCTGAAATCAAAGATAACGTCTGAAATAAAAAAGAACAGGAACGAGTAGAAGCCGAAGTTGGATTTCTTTAAAAGACGCGATTGTGGTAAATGACTAACCTCTTCCAGAAGGCTATCACCTTTTCCGTCATCAATGTCACGATGGATATACTGAAAAACCACAACATTATGTCGGATTTCTCATGGTTTTCCCTTTACCAGGAAAACCCTTTATATTCAACTAGGAGATAGAAGGTCCTGCGAAGCTGTACCATCCTAGCTTGAATGAAAAATGACATTGGCTCACAATCAGACAGACCTTTATCGCTAAACAAGGTGTTCATACTTACATACGCTTCAAACCTTTTACTTGGTACGTTCAATTTGGAATTTTGTTACGGTCAACATAACTGGGCCGCGTTGACTTTACAGTTTACAGGATCCTCCATCTTATACCCCTGGGCTTATGTAATGCCAAAGGATCACGCCCAGGACAACCTCGTTCCCCTGTAATGAAAACCAATGCAATGAAAACCCTCTACTCGTGAAATCTTGCCAACAGAATGAGGGGTCCAAGCCAAGTAAACAGTCTCTGAGGCTTACAACAGGCAAAATGGTCAGCTGGACGAATTACCTTGAATATGAGGTATACAAGTAAGTGCATCCACAGAACAAATGCCCCGTATCCTCGTAGGGCGCAATCCATCCATGTATCTGGAAACAGCAAAATTATACAGTCAAATGAATCTCGTTGATGAACTCACATTCAAGGGGAAACTCCTTTCTCTTTGCCTCTGCCAGAAATATATCTAGTCGACTCGCAGCAGTGAGATTTTCAGGCGCGTGCCCTCTCCCTAGATCAGCTGAAAGAACTATACCAACTAATGATGGAATCATTAGACTGCTAAGTGATTCCTACTCAAAAAATATCTATAGCTCTGATGAATGATAGCGAAGGAATACTGGAACTGATTTTCCCCAAAACCAAGAGAAAAGCATTCATGCTTCGCGGGCGCATTATGCGCCGTCGATTCAACAATTCATCGGTGCCTGTGCGCTATTCGAGGAGTTGCGATACTATCGTCAACCAAACCAGAGGACCGTTTCAGCAAATATAATCGACCATATCTCGGTTCCTAGGCAAGATAGAGGCCTGTGATGAATCGCAGTCGATTCAGCGTCTCGAAATACATTTAGTAGTAAGCGTGTGTTTTGTTGAATGGGAGATGGGAGATAGCACGATTTGAAAGTTATCCTGGGAGAGACCGTTCAACAAACATAATTGATTATATCTCGGTTTCTAGGCAAAATAGAAACTTGGATTGCTCGCAGTCAATTCAGCGTTCCAAATACATTTAGAAAGCGTGTAGAGTGTCAAATGGGAGATCTGAGAAATCAAGTTCTTCAGAAATTTTCATGGGGGGACCATCTCAACATAAACGGTCATATCTTGGTTTCTAGGCAAGATAGAGACCTGGGATTGGTCGCAGTCGATTCAGCGTCCCAAATACTTGTTTTCGAGTAGGATGCAACCTCGTTTTTAGAATAAATTTTATTTCTATTACTTTGAAATCTATTATCGTTTCGTTTCCTCTACCTCCTGATTGCTTCGTTCAAATATTCTTTGTTCAAATCAAGGTCGCACTTAAGCAGCTTGCCTGCCTCTTTGCTTTACTGAATATCTTCTGTGAATTTGTCTTTTTGTGTGGTTAGGGCTATACCATCAGGGCTATGAGAGCAAGTTTTGTTCGTCAGATGGTTCATGTGACGACGGTGCTGTGGCAACGGCGCACCACTACAACACATGGTCGCGTGTTCAAATCCCGGAACGATACCGTCTGGAACAGCCTAGCCTTTCATTTTCGTTGTCGGTTAATTGGTACCACAAGCGTGTGGGAGGGTAAAAGACTAATTTTTATACCGGCTGTGCGCTGCAAATCATTGTTAAGGCCACGTACGCATTCAACGTACCACTACGACTCTGAATGGAAACCCAATTCGGGGATGGAGTCACGAACGGGACTAGCTTATTCGAAGGACTCTAGGCTCTGATATGTGCCGACTGTGCATGTTAATAAGTAAATCTCTCTCAGCTCTATTCTGTATTTTCTTCTTATATATAAAGCAGTAACAAGGTGGGTGGGTTACAGGAGTGAGAAGTGAATGAGATGGAGAAACGCGAGTACTTCAAGACTGTGACTAAGATCTGTACTGGCGCTATGTATGGTTATACAAAAATCGAAGGTGATAATGTAGAAACCTTCCGGCTGTGCGCTGCAAATCATTGTTTAGGCCACGTACGCATTCAACGTACCACTACGACTCTGAATGGAAACCCAATTCGGGGATGGAGTCAGGAAAGGGACTAGCTTATTCGAAGGACTCTAGGCTCTGATATGTGCCGACTGTGCATGTTAATAAGTAAATCTCTCTCAGCTCTATTCTGTATTTTCTTCTTATATATAAAGCAGTAACAAGGTGGGTGGGTTACAGGAGTGAGAAGTGAATGAGATGGAGAAACGCGAGTACTTCAAGACTGTGACTAAGATCTGTACTGGCGCTATGTATGGTTATACAAAAATCGAAGGTGATAATGTAGAAACCTTGCCTTTTTTCAACAATGAACGCAAGAGATAAGGAGGTGAGGAGATAATTGAGCTCAGAAACGCTTTACAGCAGAAGATGTACAGTTTTTTTTATCTGGGCTTAAGGAGTGAAGGAGCTCGGGTTGGGTGAGTCAATTGAACATCCAATTCATACCCCATCCTAGCTCTTCGCATGAGGTAATCATCTCACCCCCACTTTGCCGCTCATCCCTTCCTGAGGCTTAGAATATACTTTATTTTTTTCGCCAAACGTTTGCCCCCCTACCGTTTCCAAGCACAAGTAAAGAAAGCCTTCTGGCTTTCTATTCTTCAGTGTTGTATCAAAGTGATGCTTATCCCTCGAACTACATTTTCTAACTACTTTGTAAAAGTTAGGAATGAGGCTCGGCGTAAGCCGGGTGGCCCGACTGACAAATAAATAGATAAGCGAG